GCTTCTTGATGGTTTTTGAATATGTATGTTTGTTTACAATTTTATTTGTTGCTGTTTTGATAACTTTGCGTTTTAAAAAGAGGGTGTTGAGATCTCCATATCCGGTTGAATAATTCAAACGAAAGTTAGTTATAATCAAATATAATCGATTATATTCTTGTATAACCCACAATGAAAATGCTTCATATTTTAGGTTTTTCTATATTTACAGTATAAACAAAGTGGTTTGTTAAGTTGAGTGTAAGGCCTATAATGATTTATGGGTGTCACTGATAAGGGAGCAGGCAGTTTCTTCCCACTTCCCTCACAGCAGTACACAGGGAGGGGGGCTCCGGACTTAAGGAGAAACACACTGAGGCCCCAAAAAGTGGGTTATGTCATAGCCGAGAATAATATTTAGCAGGGGTCATGTCCTTTTTACACAAACATGGGAAGGTGTGTCTTATGCCATAGCCAATAGAATATGTCTGGTCATGTCCAGTCCTGTACATCAGAGGCCATGCCCAGTTTCCACAAATATGGGTGTGGAGGAGACGTTGTTGATCTTCTGTGTTTTGCCTCTGCTGGATCGATTGATATTGTGACCTCGGTGATGAGTGTCTGTGTTTTCCTTATATTTACAGTCTATGGTGTTTTAATGCTAAAGCATTACGGTTGTTGTTATTGTTAAGAATTGCTTTGTGATGGTGCCCTGTACTCCATGTATTAAGGTGCATTACTATGACATCCCCACGCTGTGTACGTAAATGTATGCGCTCACAGTGTTGCTCCGTGTGGTCTTCAGTATGTAATTTGACACTCCCCCTCTCTCTCTCCTCCCTCCCTCTCTCCCCCCCTCTCTCCCCCCCTCTCTTTCTCCTCCCCCTCTCTCTCCCCCTCTCTCTCTCTCTCCCCCCCTCTCTCTCTCTCCTCCCCCCCCTCTCTCTCTCCCCCCCTCTCTCTCTCTCTCCCCCCCCCCCTCTCTCTCTCCCCCCCACCTCTCTCTGCCCCCCCAGTTTTGTACACATAGAAACGCCACTGCGCGCCCGCCATCTCGCTGAAAGTCCTGACGTGCATTCGGGACAGCTCGCTTGCATGGCAGATTTTTATAGCTGCTTCACATGTCAGCTCCATTTCCCTTAGCAGCCTTTCTCTGACCTTTTTATCCTCCATGCCAAAAACGATCTGGTCCCGTATCATGGAGTCCCTCAGCGTAGCAAAGTTGCATGACTGTGCTTTTAGCTTCAGGTCAGTCAGAAAGCTATCAAAAGGCTCATGCTGCTGCACACGTGAACGGAATACATATCTCTCGTATGTTTCGTTCTTTCTGGGAGAGCAGTGGGCATCACATTTCTCGAGCACTTTATCCAGTTTGTCTTTATCAGCCTGCTCTTAATACACAAAAGTATTGTACACTTCTATCGCTTGTGGGCCTGCTATAGTTAGCAGTAGCGCTACCTTCCTAGCATCCGGCTAAGTTTCCAGTCCCATGGCCGTGATGTAAAGCTGGAACTGCTGCTTGAAGGTCCGCCAGTTGCTGTCGACATTTCCCGAAGGTTTTAGCGTCTCCGGTGGCTTTAATGAATCCATGTCGCTTGTCACAACTCCTCACTTAATGTGTTTTTATTTTACTTCATAATTTACTCCTGGTACCATGTTTTGTTAGTTGGTCTATTAAGGAACTGACTCGTGCTCCGTGCTAAAGTGTTAGCCAAGTTTAATCAAGACCTCTTGTTCGGGTCCCATGGTACATGGTCAGTGTTGTGCTAGTTACTTAAAACCAGTAACTAGTTACCATTACTAGTTACTTCATTTCAACAGTAACTCGGTTACTTTACTAGTTACTTAAACCCAAAAGTAATGCGTTACTGTGAAAAGTAACGTTTTAGTTACTTAAAGAAAGGGCTCCCATTAATGCCCTTATAGCCTTCATTTCAGTACTGTTATTGCATTGGAGAATAATACAATCTGTTGATCAACTTGACATGCATTATATGCAATCTGGATTGCATCGATATTAGCTGGCTTTCCATTTTTGTATATTCTTTCTCCAGGTAGTTGGAAAAAGTTTTCCGTCCCATATGCCGTGTGCCGCCCGGACATGCTGTCATGCTAACTAGCTCCCTGAAAGCAGGTGACTCCACTGTAGCAATAGCCTGCATGTGTTCTACAACATACCGTGCAATGGCTTTATCGACTTTTCCCTGGCTAGCAGTCCCTTGGTTAAAATCCAGCCGCTGTTGCTTAGGTTGAGGTGGAGTGGTGTCGGCTGAGTCTCTGTGGTCTTAGCTACTAGCTTCGTCCTAGCATGTTGTTTTTGCTTTTGTTTTAAGAGATTTGAATGACTGGTTTGGGCAGTAGATAAGATCTTTGACCCGCCAAGACACAACTTACATTTAACAGAAACTTTATTTTCTTTGTGCTCGACAAAAGTGAAATAGTGAGAATATCTCCAGGTGGAGAAACTAGACTTGAGCTCCGCCGCCGCCATGATAGTCTTGTTAGTAAACAACACAAACACGCCCACAGCCCGTCTCCGCATGTGACACAGGAAGTATCTAAGTACATTTACTCAAGTACTGTACTTACAGGTAAGTACAGTTCTCATCTCTGTTCGCCTGACTGTTGACTATATAAAAAAAACTAACGCAGTAACGAAGTAACGCACCATGTAGTAACGATAACTGCGTTACTGAATTTGATAAGTAATGCGTTAGAGTACTAGTTACTGCCAAAAATAACGACGTTACAGTAACGCGTTACTTCGGACACTGTACATGGTACATGGTACATGTGGATTTAAACATAGGTCACAACTATGTGTCGACACCTTGTGGTAGGAGTGTGTATCTATCTAATCAACACACGAGATAAGTGTATCTATCTAATCAACACACGAGATAAGTTTGTGCACTGGAGGCCATCCAGTTATTTTAGCCGGGCCGGCTAAAATGATTGGTTGTGCTTTTTACAGCGCCACGGCTTCCACAGATGAAAAAATGTTTTGTATTTATTCTCAAAGCATTTAATATATTCATTGCTATCGGGATGTTAAGAGCATTCCATGGAATATAACAAAAAAAACCTCTGTTTATATAAGCACCTCAGTAGATTCAAAACACTTGGATCAGTCCACATTTGGAAGGGCCATTCCTATCCCCCTTCACTATTAAGTGTATGTATGTTAAATATACATGTAATACATGTATTTATATCAAATATTCATGTGATATTAAGGGGGGGATACTCACGGAGGAGCTTATATAAACTGAGCACACCGTCACTGCTCACATCGAAGATAAAGAATGATGGCCATGTGCCAGGACTGGAACGTATCAGCTGTTTGGGAGGCTTCCGCCATTTTGACTTTATTTGATTTGGTAGTGCAATACTAAACATCTGCAGTATATACATTTATGATTCTGTGGTTCCAATGTGACAGCCTTCTTTATGACACATAGGTGGACACACACCTACTTTTAATTACACAATTCTACATCTCAGTTATTTTTTTAAATATTAAGACTTTAAACCCCAAACAACACAATTATTATTTTTATAAAAATATTTCTTACAATTCACATTTCTTGTAAGTCCTCAACTTCATTATCACACTACAGCTTTAAACTCTTAAGACTGTAACATATGGGACTCACCTCATTGAAATGAATTTTAAAAAGGACTTGTTATGTGTCTATACAGGTAGCCTATAGGTGTATAGTAGATGTAGGCCTACACACTCCAGATCGGTTTCCTTATATCTCATTCTGTTTCGGTTCCCTGCTGTGTCCCTTTTCTCAGAATCCATCACCTTTAAACCCAAACACAAATCCCCTGCGGCACAGATATAATCTGTAATTGTGTCAGTTTTCTGCGGATCATCCTTTCCCTACAGTCGACCTCACAGAGGCCGTCCTGAAGCGAGAGCACTTGACTTTGCGGATATAGATTGTTGTTTAGAGCAGGTGTGGAAGAAGTACTCAGATATTTAACTTAAGTACAAGTACCAGTATTAGACTGTTAAAGAACTCTGTTACAAATAAAATCCTGCAATAAAAATCGTAATCATGTCAAAGTATAAAAGTATTGAATGAACCTTCTGCTAGACCATATAGTAGAGCACACTTTGAGTCACCATATCTTACTTAAAAAAAAGTTGTACTTATTTCCACCAGTGTCAGCCAATTTCTACCGGTTGGTTGATGTATGTTATGCTTAAAGAGTCCACTAGATGCCCCTGTGTTTTTCACTAGCACAGATAGCAAGTTATCCTGTTCATAGGAAGTTAGCAACAACAAAATCACTTTGGTGAGACTTTCAAAGATAAACACACGTTTTTTTCTGCATAATTTAGTGTTTAAGGACTTGATGATCATAATTGTGTAACTTGATACAAAAAAAAGAAATCATTTTTTTTCCCAACATGCTCTAACAAACAGTTGATTAGATACGTTATGGTAAAGTTAGTGAACTAAGCTAAGTCATTAAAATGGCCTATTTGCTAGAAAATGATAACACTTCTGACCATTTATTGTTGTTAATTTGACATGTTAAATGTTTCATCATTATGTTGATGAAATAACTTTAGAAGTATGATTTTAAGCGACATCTTGTCCGTTTGGTAGAGGCCTATTAAAAAAATTGTGGGCTCCTTTGTAAAAAAAAACATTGATGTTTTTATTATTGGCCCAAGGATATTCAAAATGTAAATAAATTATTTTTTCATTGCTTTTTTCTTGGTAAGGACTTTAAAGGGTAGCAAAAATACTCATTCAACAGTATGGCCAGTTTCTAAAATCCAGCAAAAGTGTAAAGTAGTATTATGTGCAAATACTCAAGTGAAGTACCTCATTTATCAAAAGTGCAGAACTTGAGTAGATGTACTTAGGTACATTACAATAATGGTGTAGCGATATCCTTATAGCCAATCAATTATGCAGCATGAGCTCCACCTGTACTGTTTCAGTCAAACACTGTCTCAAGGTCAGCTGATGTTCAGTCAGATGTTTTGGTGGTCTTACCGAATAAGGTCCAGCAGAGCGTCAGCAGAACTCATGATGGGCTTTCCGCTGTCCTCAGAGTCCTCTTTCTGTGCCGCTCCGCCTGGGTGGATGATGGAGACCATGACGATCCCCACCACCACGGCCACAAAGGTGGTCCACAGGTAATAAGACACTGTGATCAGGCCCAGCCGACTGGAGCACTTGGCGTCGAGGGCAGCAAGTCCCGACATCAAACTGCAAAAGGAAACATCCCAGTTAGTGCTTTATGCCTCTATCCCCGAGGGAAAAATACCATGCATGTAGATGATAATAATGTTGTTAATGATTGTGAACTTAATTTGTACAGCATCCTTTTTTCGAGAAACGCAACACAACATGCTTCACAATAAGGGAAAATACACATTCATAAATTGCCATAATTATTAAAAAGAAAACGGTAGATAAGAAAAATGTATAATTAAATATAATACATAAAATACACAAAATAAATGAAAAGAAAAACGAGGAATAATACAATGAATATCAGTTCCCATTTTTTAGGCATTCATACATCAATATAAACTGCAGCAGCACCTTAGGTCTCCATTCTCTTCTACTCAGTTATTTTCTTTCTCGACAGGTGTGGAGAAATGCTTTTTTAAAAATAAATTGGCGCATTTGTGTCTGAGGCTATATTAAACACCACAGAACCTACTTCGCACGCTGGTCCAAGTCACATCCAAACAGCCATTTTTTAGATGCCTCAGAACATTGGTTGCATGTAATATTGAAGCAATACATCAGTTAGCAACCCATTCTTCCTTTGTCAATCAAGTTTTTATGATTATATTGCATAAAACGCATAATCCTGTACATTCGAAATGTCAATTTTCAGCATGGATGTCTGAGTCAAGCAAATGCATATAGAAATAGTTTTATCAGGCCTAAGACCTTGGACAAAACTCATCACCTATTCAAGGCTGTACAATCTTTCAATTGATCTGAAAGCTTCAGACATAAAACCTGGACATTCATTCAGACAGTGGATTCCTGAGTGAAGCCAATGCATTTAGAAATGGTTTTATGAGGCTTTAGACCTCGGACAATGTTCTGAATTTATACAAGAATATGAAATCCTTTGATCTCTCCGAACCTTCAAACTTGCTTTAAGAAAACAACTTCCCCACAAGGTTCTGCTGTGTAGCCCATCTGGAGATTGCAACTTTTTTTACTTGACGTTGGGTTTGTTAAGATTTCATGGATGATGAAATTGGATCTCGGAAATTGTGATTGTGATTGTTTTGCCAACTTTTATTTTTAAGGTACGAAATGACTTTATTTAAATCTCCACTGAACTAACATTTAGTGCGGAGGAAAAGGATATAATTGTCAGTTTCAGGAAAAACTACAAACAGCTGTTTCCCAGCCTAAAAGTAAACTTAAAACATCAGTTGGACATACGTAGATGTACAGAACACAAGTTCTCCAAATTAAGCAACAACATACTGTAGGCTGGTTGTCCATGTCCTGTAGAACGACACAGCAAGGCCTTTTCTGATCTGATGTCTGATTGGTAGGACAGCATCATTTGACTGTGCTTTCCAAAATCTGTTTTATGAGAAGCTTATGCTGTGTTTGATGACTATAAGCAAGTTTATGGAACAAAAACCACATTGTAAGGTTTGGGTTAAAATAAGTACAAAGTTCATCGTCCATCCAGCTCGTCCTCCCCCCTTTGTGGAAGTTTCACTATGTAATAAATTAATGTCTTCTGACTTCCTCGTGTGTTATAATTACATCAACTGGTTGGTAGCTTTGTTTATAAGGAGCAGCAGTTTAGACCTGCAAATGTACTCGTTGACGTCGCCACCTTCAGGCAAAGAGAGTAACAGCTACTGCATCATAAGACTTCTCTTTTCTTATCCTTTGAGGTTTGACGTTAATGTTAAAACAAACAATACAAAACGCAATCGCTCTGTCATTGAACAAAATAAATAATGAGAGGCAAACTTGTAAAACAATTCAGTTTTTAATGCGGTTGCTAAACCTGTACAAATACAACAACAAGACGCTGTGTGAAATGCACCTCTTACTGCACTGGCAAGCAAATTGTGTCTCAGTGCAGAGGTAAATGCAGTAATGTCACATTGCAATGTATTTTAATTATTCATTATTGCATGGTTTTTATGTGTTTGTGTGTGTGTGTGTGTTTTATACCTTTTTATTGTGTAATTTTCCCTGAAATGTGTTTGCCTTTTTAACTGGTTTTAAGTTAAAGGGCCCATGTCATGCTTTTCCGGTTATCACCCGTCCCCTTGTGTGTTATGAAGGTTTTTCTGCATGTAAACGGTCTGCAGAGTCACAAACCCTCAAACTACACCCTGTAGCGAGTAAAACTCTAACACAGAAAATACCTGTCTATGCTGCCCCAGAACGCCTCGTTGGAGATTTCTCTTTTTCCATTGTTTTCTTCCTGGGTACAGTGACGTGCCCATACCCAAATGGACCCATTGGTCCAAATGGACCAATCCCTGGAGCCGTTACGTTACGTCCGTGGATTGGTCCAAATTGACCAATCCGCGGACTTCCTCACACACACACATTCAATCTTTTCTCAGCTGCAGCTCCGCCGATTTCTCCTCCCTGAGACGGCGGAATGCGGAGAGGCTGTGAGCAGGGCCGGACTGGGACAATAAATCAGGCCGGGAATTATACACCCAGCCAGGCCACTACCAGTTTTCTTTTGTGCCATTTTCCTGGATTTATTTGTCAATATTTACAGCGTTGCTGCCCATAGTGATAGCCCTAAACTTTAAATCTACTACCCCAGGTAGTTATCCAGTGGCCACAAAAAATATATTTACACACGTAAGGTCATCATCTTAATAGTTTTGTATGCTCATCCGTGAGTAATGTCTACAGCTGAATGCGGCGATTACCATGTTGTTCAGCAAAACGCCTCACAAACGTATTAAGATCAACAGCTTTAGTGCGTTTTGATTCAATGCTGAGTACAGCCAAACTGACAGTCTCTTCTCTGTCAGTGTAGACCGCAAATACCTCATTCCTTCAGTGCTTGGGTCCGAATGCTTCTCGTTTTGCGCCGTCCCCACTCCCCAAATTAAATCGCCGCCAATCATATGTCCACGCTTGCGCCAGGACCGGGGGAGGGGTTACATGACGTGCATCTTGTGCTGCATTCACTTGCACTCGGACATTAGAGACTTTCTCTCATAAATTTCTGAGCCACAACTTTTCTTTCAAAACAAAGCTGCCAACTGGGGTGGCAGCTGGGGTGGCAAGGCCTATTTTTAGGGTGTCAGTTACCACCCTAGTAGGTGAAACTAGGCTACTAGCTACAGTACAGATGGAACTAGATGAGCTGTTAACTCTCGCTCTGATTTTTTTTTTTAAAACTCTCGCTCTGACTCAGACAGGTTGAAAGAGATGAGATAATATATGATATATGATACAATATACCCCAGCCCGGTAAGATTTTTTTTTTTAATGTTGGACTTAAAGAGCTTGTGACAGCCTCCCAACAACTGTTGTGCAATGAAATATTGGGCTACTAGTCATCTCGAACCGTCAGTTTAAAAAAGAAGGTGCGATACCGTTCCGATAAATATCAATAATTTCGAACATCGCGGGGAAATTCCTTCCACTCATTTTGAAGTTTTGGGGGAAGCCGGAAGTGACGTCAATGCGGGAACGCTTCACTGTGCGGTGAGAGAGCCAAACACGGACAAAGTGTGTTGTCATGCGTAGAAATGGTGAATTACTGAGTTTAGGCCATAGACTGTATATATAAATGGACGTAGTGTCCGTGACGTCATCCATAGGATTCTGCAGAGTTGCCGTGAAGCCCTTAGTAGGCGGAGTCGGCCACTAACGGCTTGACAGCAACGTCAGAGTCTAATCCCGCCTGCTCCAAATAAGGGCAAAGAGGCGGAGCCGAGGCGGGACCTGCTGCCTCCGAACTGGAAGTAAACAGAGCTAGCTCAGGCTAAGAAGCTAAGCTAACATGAAATACATGCATACCAAGTTACTGCTAACAGTGTAGTTCCCCTATATAAACGTTACATTCATAATCAAATGAGACAATCTGCAAGAGAATTAGCTATATTTTATTATTCTTAATGCTTGTCATTCACACGTTGAGAAAAGACGGACTCCACCGCCCGGACCTAACGGAGCCGCATTGGGCTAGCTCCGGGACGCCGGCTGGAGCTAGCCCCCTGCGGCTCCGTTAGCTCCGGCGGCCACCACTGGGATAATTGGGTCCCCTATTAACATTTGCTCCCGTTTAGCATTATGGGCGTCATAGCCATAGACTATAAAAGTCTTACCCAAGGCTGAATCATAAACTAAAATGTATATGTATGCATAAAGGGTTACGTCCTTAGCTGGCTAATAAGTAACAAGCTAAGCTACCAAGCACACAAACACCTGCGAACGGGGTTAACATGTATAATATTATCATTTTAGACATCTTGGAAGTTCTGTTAGTACATTCAAGCGCACATCACGACATTTTAATTGTCTGGTATTTGTAACAATATTCTCTAAAAGGCACAATCACCACGAACACGGCTAAAGCTAAAGGGTCAAGTACAGTGCTATGACTAACTAACGTTGTCGCCTCTATGGTTGTAGCCTAGCAGAGTGGACAAGTTGCTGTTAGCTGACAGTGAGGCATGTACGTGTCCATCAACGTGACCACGCCCTAATTTATGCAAAAACTTTAAGACCTAATATAAATAAAAGGGTCGTGTTAGAAAACAATTCACTCACAGATTCATAATCATGAAGGTGGAATCTAACTATATCGATAATAATATTTATTGCATCCATGGGTAGAAACATGTTTTTTTCTGCTGTAAAGTTGGGCATTTTAACATGGGGGTCTATGGAAATTGCTCCTTTCTGCAGCCAGTCCCTAGCGGCCCATGTATGAACTGCAGTGTGTGGCACTTCCGTATTGGCTTCCCGGCTGTTCCCCAGAGTTTGCCGCTTGGTTTAGGCACGTTAATAACGTTGTAATGAAGTTGACTACAGTATATTCATATTTGTCAGTGCTTTCATGTCAATTCGGCGAACATAAACATAAATGATCGTGGTGAAGATGATGATTACATTAGGATTCAAAATCGGTAGTGAGAGCTGCTGAATTTCCTCCCGTCGGATGTGATATAAAAACAAATCGATTATTTTTGTAGTTGTAAACTCAAGTGGATGAAACTACATTTATTTGT